TGAAAACGAGCTGGAGTTTGCCCTAGCTTCTCTCTCAAACACGGAGATCAAGACAGTTGCGCTTTCACCGGAAAAATGAAGTCCAGCCTCCGGCGTTCAAGCTTCGAGCTCCCTCCTCTCTCGTGTCATGTCAAGTAAATCCCGAAGATTTGTGGTCACCATTCCGCCGCCAGTCTTCTCCTCCGCCTAGAACTTTCTGAATCTCTTGCGGTTTCACGACCATACCGAACCCTACGCCATGGTTTCCAGCGAGCTAAGCTCTGAAATCGTGTCAAAATTTGTCTTATTGTTCCCGAATGTTGATCTTTGGGTCCTTGCAAATCGGAAGTACTCTCTCTTTCACGTTCCGTTGATATCTTCCGTGGAGTTGCAAATACATCCTCATCTGCCAGAGCCGTCGGATCCACTGGATTTACTAATCTAGCTTCATCTACAACTCCTTCCATCTTCAGTCATCTCTCTTGATCTCCATCAGATTTGTCCAGCTCGCCATCATCTCTCCAGGAAATTTTCCTTTTCTGTGCTGCCCATCTCTTGGATCTAGGATTGGTCTCTGCTACAACAAGTATCCGTGTCGTCAAAGTTCACCGCGACGACAACTGTTTCGATCCTCAAGCTATACAAATTGCCGAAGCTCTCTAACAAGTTGGTCCAATTGGCCATCAGTGGCTCTCAATCCACTCTTTAATGAGTATGGCCCAATTTACAATTCAAAGTTCAAATCTCCTTCTGAGCCGGCTAGTTTCTCCTATGCGAGAACAACAAAGTTTTCTGGATTCTCAAATCATGCAAATTCCTACCTTTAGGAGAGATCTTTTCCATACTTCTTCCCATTCGGGAAGAGAACCATTTCATCATTTTTTCTCTCTTTGGGAGTAAGAGTCCTCTTTAAATCAAAACCGAGCAACTCCCTAACTGATGTGTATTCTTGTGTAGTGGTCTGTACGTGGCCAGAAGATGCAACCGGGTTCATCTTGATGAAACTCGGAGGTCGGGGTAGTCTTTCAACGTCACTGTATAAAGTGACCAAATCTATGTTTTCGGCTTAGCCGTGATTTTATACCAACGCATCTAGAATTTTTCTTTAATTTGCTGTTTTAAAATTATGATGTTTGGTATGCGTTAATTGGTAATTGTTTTATGTATTGTTGTATGAATGGATATAACCCGAAAAGTTAATTGAATAAAGCAAATGGTTGCAAAAAAAAAAAAAACAAACAGAGGGAGTAATATATAAATTAAAGGGTGAATTTGGTTAATAACCAACAAACAAAATTATAATTCAATAACTTAGAAAAAATGTATATGTGGCAAATTCTAAACCATTGGATTTAAAAAAATTAATTAGTTATTGAATTATAGATTTTTTGTTGGTTATTAGTGCTAATTTCCCTAAATTAAACTTATTTGCGTCCAGCCCCTTGATGTTATGGATTCAACAACTTCAATTTTTTTTTTTTACATTTATTTTTGGTTTATTTGATTCTTCATACTAATTTGATCTTTTTATCTTGTGTAATTAAAAACTAAAAATTTCGTCTTCCATGTAAATTATTTTTTGCAAAATCAAAAAAAAACATGAACCCAAGCTTATTTGTTGATGCAAAACTCGAGAATCAATGAATTTTTGTAATGAACTGATTTATCTTTGGCAAAAAGATCCGCAAGCATTGACCAAAACGAACCAATTATACATTAATGACCTTTTTAAGGATAAAAATCCAGGTATGCATTGTATTTGGATTTCCAAGGTAGTAGGGTCTCTTTCAAGTGTTACAAAGAGTTCAATAGAGAAAGCTAAAAAAAAAAATTGTG